TACAGAATTAAGAAATATAATATCGAAAATTAAGATTCTAGAACCGTTAGAAGCTTTTCTAATATAATAAAAAAAAACGATAATGTTTTTAACGTTCTGTGACCCACACACACAATGTTTCAGTGGGGGTCGGACCTTCGGTCCTCAAACCCCCACTTTCACATTGTGTCAGCTTGTAATTGAAACAATCGTCAAGGAGAAGTAATACACATTAATCTTTATACTTTAGATTAACTTGATGATCAAATTTCTTAATCTATTTTTAAAAAAATGATATGATAATTCAAATTTTGACATTACTATGATATGACATTAACATAATTTAGATTCTTATATTTTTAAAGTAATGCAGTCTTTTAAATTTTCTAATGATTAAAAATTTAATTTATATGAACTATTAGCATTTATATATAATGCAACTGGAAGGTGTTTTTTATTTATTTACATCTAGTAGATATTTATTGTGAGTATTTAATTAGATTTTAACTTATAAATTATTAATACTTTACAAGATAAGTAAAATAAATTATATCTATTTTTTTAAAAGATTTACTTATATAAAAGTTCTATTTCATTTATATTATAGTTTATTTCAAGAGGATAGTTAAAATAATATTCTCTTAATAAGGGTAAAGTATTAGCAATAGCAGTTTCATTAACAAAAGAAACTTATTCTTCAAGTTTTTATTGGTGAAGATTGTAATTTGTGAAGTCATTCTGAAGAAAATTGTAATGTATTTTGAGAAATATCTAAACTATTAGTAATTATTTTGCTTTTTCAAAAGTATTACATCACTTAAAACTATTATATACTAGTAGTTTAAAATGAATTCTTTAAGAGTAAACTCAAACTTTAGATAAATAACTGATTTATGGTGTTTTGAATTTAAATTGATAGTTTTTAATCAAGTTAGTTTTTTGCTAAGATATTAGTAATAGTGCTTTTATTAACTCTAATTTTTTATTTTTCTAATATATTAAGTTTAGATTTTTTATCATTTTAAGTATAAATAAAAGTTTTTTCTTTTGAATTTTGAAAAGTGTAATTCTTTTAAAAGACATTTTTAGAGGTATTAATATGGTTGATTTTAATATTATTAAATATTGGTAAATCATTTTTCTTTAATTTAGATACATAATAAATTAAACTTTCTACTTTTTATTCTATAGCAATTTGTTTATATATTGACAAATGCTATTTTTTCATTAATATTTTTTAGCTATACTAATTTAAAATAATTGATCAAGTAAAAAAAAAATCTTATACTTATATATATGGTATAAAAATTTATTTAATAAATTTTATTTTTAAAAAACATATACAAAATTGTTATTATAAATTTTATTTTAAACTTTTATTAAAATTAATTATGATCAATTAATTATTAGCTATGATTGATTAATATTAGAACTTTTATTTAAAAAGATATTTGAATATCTATTTGTAGGATCTGTGAATCAGATATTTAAAAATGAATTCTTTACATTCAAATCTCAAAATCATCTTTGAATCTTAAAGAATATTTCTCAGATTAAATCGTTAATTTTTGATAATACAACAAATTTTTGAATATTTGAATTTCAATCTAAATTATATGAATAAATTATAGAGGTGTTCTAACTACACTCAGCACTTATAGAGGTGTTAGTGTAATTAATTTTAGCTTAACAAAAATATATTTATAAAAGAAAAATGACTATATAAAAAAGTAACTATATAGAAGATTTATTATATATTATTATCAAAGTTGCTATTTTAAATATGCAAGATAGTAAAACTTCAATCAAACTATTGTAAAATATTTAACCTATTGCGAAATATTAAACTCTTGCAAAATATTAACTTTTGCGAAATATTGAAACATTTGCAATATTTAAGCATATATTTGATAAACTAAGAAAGACAAGATTGAAGCTTGGTAAGGATAAATGCGAGGTTTGTAAATTAGAACTTACATTCTTAGGTCACATCATTAGTGAGCAAGGAACCTTACCAAATACTTCCAAGATTGGTAAAATTAAGAATTTTCCAATTCCCAAAAACAAAAATGAAATTAAAGGATTTCTTGTGCTAATATCCTATTATCAAAAGTTTATTCGAGAATTCTTCATTAAGGCTGCACTCTTACATCTATTACTGCGTAAATAAAGTCCTTTTTTATGGACTTTAGCTTAACAGGAAGTATTCGAACATTTGAAAAATTGTTTGATTATAGCACTGATCTTAATATACCCGACTTCGGGGCTAGGAGCAGTCTTAGCATATACTTGTAGAAGTTTAAATAACACAATTTAGGGAATGGAACATTTTAGGTCATATTTACTCTATAAGCTATTTAATAAACCTGACCCGCCAATGAAATTTATGAGATGGATTATTAGAATTATGGAGTTTCCCTATAAAATTACACTCAAACGTGGATACCTTATCTTGACTTTCATCCATCTCCACATAGCAACAACCGAATATTAGCAAGTTTTAGAGTGAAAGCGCAAGTGTCAGCAGTATGACTGACAGTTCTAACTACCAAAATGGACCTAGCAACTTTAACTTACCCATCTAATATCACCTCTGCAACAACTTGAAATTCGAAAACAATCATTCAAATATTTTATTCAAAACCAGCAACTGTATCATCAAAACCAAAAACAACCCTCACAACCGCTATTAGTCATTAAAATCACCGAAGTCGAAACACTTATTCACAACATACATAACGAACCATTAGGAGGACACTTAGGACGCGATATCACTTACAACAAAATAGCCTCCAAGTATTATTGGCCAAACATGTATCGAACTATTAACAATTGGATAAAACATGTGATACATGTCAACGAAAAGGGAGACCTAAACAATTGGAACCTTTCATCCAATATCGGTAGGACAACCATTCGACTGTATTGGAATAGATTATGTGGGATCTCTCCCTCGAACTACGAAAGGAAATAGACACCATTGAATACCTTTACCAAATGGAAGCTGCTGTAACCCCTGATTGTACTTCTCAAACAGCTTATTTATGGTGAAATAATCTGTCGCCATGGAACACCAAAGGAGATCTTAACTGACCGAGCCGAACTAAGCATAGATTATCCCGGGTTTGTTTATTTTTTTATTTTGTTTCCCTTCCCCTCGCCTCGGCCTTTTTTATTTTTTTATTTCCCCAGGTTTTTTTTTTTTTTTTTTTAATTATTTCATTTTTATAATTTTTTTTTTTATTCTTCCCTTCCCTGACCTTGTTTTTTTATTCCTTCGCCGACCCCCAATCTTTTTTTTTAATTATTTTTTTTCTTTCTCCCTCCGGTCTTTTTTTTTTATTTTTCCCTCCGGTCCATTTTTTTTTTTTTATATTTTCGTCTTTTTTTTAATTCATTGTTTTTTTTTATTTATTTCCTCTTTCCGATCTTTTTTATTTTATTTTTTATTTTTTATCTTTTATATTTTTTTTATTTTCCCCGGGGCATCGCCGGGTAGAATTTCTATTGAAGTATAATAATAAGAGTGGATTCCTGCGGGACTATTTTATTTTATACAGTATCTCTTGCTAACTCTAGATACAAGCGAAAATTGAATAATGGGCGGGATTATGAGAATCTCGTAGTTAGCAATATTAGCAATAGAAATAGTAATTTTTCCAAAATGTAAGAAAACGATGTATTAGTATGGCGCAGGGCTTGTATTAAATGATCTAGGATACGCGTACTCCCTTCCTAAGCATGTCATACACTAATTGCAAAAGAATCACTGCTAATATGTCATATTACATAAAATTTTCGCATATTAGGTTTTGATGTGTAATGTATCTTTATTACATTAATTAAAAGAATTCATTAAAAGAAAAGGCTAAATAAAGCAAACACTATAAATGACCATATAAAATAAATCAGCATTAATGTCTATTTATTCTTTTTTTTTTTGTCGCTTTCTTTTGTTTTCCACCTTTTTTTGATCCTTTCTTTTCATCTTTTAATGGTTTTCGTAGCTCATCAGTTACCATAATTGCAGTTTTTTTACCCTCTTCATAGCACTTATCAACTTCATCTTTAACTTTTTTCACTGATATCAATTCATGAGTATACTCTTCAATGTAGCAAAGATTTTCCTGGCGAAAGAGAAAGTTTATCAGTGCCTCTTTCATATTACGTCCTCCAAGTATCATCGTTTCTTCTGTACGAGACCACATGTAGATGACGCCATTAAGGTCTTTTAACCAGAAAATCAAATCATAACATGCAAGAACAGGACAAAAATCAGTAATATTATAAAATTCAGCAAATCTACGAATTTCATAATCATACAGAAGATTTATTTTTCAACAAGTTAAGAAGCATGAGCAAATCTTCTTCGCATTGTGTTCCATCGTCAGCTGACATTCTTGTATGGCAACTTCATTTGTTGTGTTTCTGTTGAAATTGTACGCATCCTTATTGGAAGGTCTTTCCTCCAAAGGGATAACTGAAGCCACGTGTTGGTTTTGGCACAGTTGCCGTAATCCCGGGGTTCTATTTTCATCAACAGATTCCCGTGGAAGCATGCGCTGGTTCTCCGAGTCGAACTTCTGTCGGATTCCCACTATCTTTTGTTTGGTTGTCGTGGAACCTATCGTTGATGCTCCAAACGAAATCTTCTTCACTCTCTGACGGTGTCTCTGACGTTTTGATTTCAAAGAGATTGTTAACGCTGCGAGACGATACATAGGATTTCCCTCCAAGAGCATTATCCAAGTTGACAGTTGATTTAGATGTTTGAATAGGTATTTTGTTAGTTTCTTGAGAGTCATTAATTTTCTCGGAACTTTGATGTTTATCGAGTAAAAGATACACGGGCCATCCACCATTGTTCTTGCTGGAACCTTTGCACCATATATTTCCACTTCTATCCATCGGGTATCCCCGTTCGGTTGTTGCAGATATCGCTGTAAATCCCGTCCAATCTTACTGGAGTAATTTTAGTCAACAGTAATTTGAAAAAAAAAAAAAAAAAAAAAAATAGATATACCGGTACGGCTTCAATGATAACCATGGCCACATATTCACACACATCATTATCCAATAATTTGTAACGATAGTCTCAAAGTCCCATTGGTAAACATGTGACCAACATCTTCATTTAAAATAGTTAGTTTATATTTTGAATGGCTTCTTTTCTTTTTTCCTTGCCATTAGTTGTTACATTTATATTATAAAATATCTCAAATATATGATTATTACGAAACAAAACTTGTAATTGAAAAACCATTAAAAACTTCGATCAAAGGACAATTTCACGATAAATGTAAAAAGAATCTTTATTTTTCAATAAAACTACCATTACCATTTCAAATGGAATGTGTTCAAAAATTAGATTTATGACAAGAAATTAACCAAAAAAAATTTTTTTCTAAAAACCATCTATTTAAAAAAACAATTAAGGAAAAAAAAATTAAAAAAAAAAAAAAAATTTAAAAAAATTTGTAACCTACTTTCCAATTATACGCAAAAAAAAAACCACGCCAGGAAAAAAAAAAAAAATTAAAATTTACAAAGAAGGTGGTTTTATATATTTGTTGAAAGTGTAAGATTAGAAGTAGGTGATCAAGATTCTTTTTTTTTTTCTTTTTTTAAAAGGGGGAGGGAAGAAGGAAAAGAAGTATTTACAAAAAATTTTTAGGTAAGGTTTCAAAAGAGTGGGATGATTAATACAATAATTATATTAATGTGGTGTAAATATTTCGGTATTGTAAAACGAAAATGTGACAGAGAAATAATTATGTTTTGTTTAGTTATCCCCCTCACATTATTAATAAACCATCCTTTCTAAATATTTAAAATAAAACTAAAAATGATAAAAAAATATATATATAATTAACAAATTCTAAATTATTGTAATGTCTATTTCTACTTTTAAAAAAAAAAAAATTTAATATATGAATTCCCGATTTTTATGATACATTCCGCTTGTTCCATAGGCTCCATTGGATCCAAATCCAGTGTTTGAACCAAAACCTTGGCCATAATTTACGAAACCACCATTATTATTATTTTGTACAAAAGGACCAACATTTGGTACGAACGATTGCTGTCCTCCAAATCTGACAGAACCTCCAAATCCTCCTGAAACTGGTCCGCTTCCGAATCCATTCGGTATCGAGTGATCGCTGAATCCATTTGAAGAAGAAGATCCTTGAAATCGATTTGGAATGGTGCCCATGAAGTCATTTGAAGATGATTCAGCAATTTTACCACCATTATTGTTGTTGCCTAAACCGAATCCAAGATTGGAAGGAAAATTATACACTCCTGGTGTATGATACATTCCCGGTGAACTAAATTGGGAAGGTGCGTTAAAATTTCCATTGGAAGGAAATCCAACGGGGGCTTCAAATCTTGAAGGGGATGTGAATTCACCACTTCCATGTCGACTGTGCGAATCATATCCATACTCATAAAATGAAGATTCGGGAGCCGAATAATTACCATCCGATATGGAGTTGAAATATTCGTAATCTGAGGAGTAAACTGCGTTTTTCCTTCCCTTCCTTCCAACGGGAGTTTGAAGACCAAATTCCTTCATGATTCTTTCCTCTCGTTCTCTTTCCTCAGCCAACAACATATCAACTTCTGTAATATCAACTTGACTCGTTAATGCTGCGCGTCCTTGCGCTATCATATCACTTAATTTATCGTTCACTTTTAGTAACAATTCGTCTGGATCATCATAACTTCCTGCTCGTGGGGTAGAAACTTCATTTAATGAGGATTTACGTCGAATTAATCTTCGATTACGTCGTACCCGGATTTGTCGACGTTTAGGCAACGTTTGCGAGTTCACATCTTTCGGCGATGATGGTGGGGTGGATTTGCTTCTTGCTTGAGGGGTTGCAAAACTTATACGTTTGGGAGATGAGGGAGTTGGAGATTCCGTCAAATTCTTTGTTCTGGAACATGTGTCAGCATTATATGTTGAAGTTGACTGCAAATAAAAAAAAAAAAATATGATTTTAGTTAAACGATTCTATTGTTACCAAATATTAAAAAATAATAACGATAAATAAATTATGAATTTCTTACCGATGGGCAGATACTATCGTACGGTGGCGGAGGTTCATCGTCATCATTCACCGACCATTTAGCGTCCATCTTTTTATCGTTTTTCTTATTTATTTCTCGACCGTTATATTCCATATCTAGGTCGCTCATTTCATCATTGTCGTAAGCTCCATCCGAATCATCCGCATTTATTTGCATGACATCTTCATTAAAATAACTATTATTATAATCTCTTCTTTTCCCCGTTCCCGTGGTGGATGACTCTGGTTCAATGGCTCCAACGGCCGTCAGAGTTTTATAGGCTTCGGATGCCATCGTAGTGGTATATGCTGCTATTGCCGATAATTTGTACATCAAACCCGTCGTAACGCTGGGAATATCTTGAGACGTTGTTGAAGTACTGGAGGCTGAATTATTATTTTTATCTACTTTCTGTTGCTTCATATATGTTTCAAATTGATTTTCAAAGTCTTGCTTTGGAGTTATCTTTGAAGGTGGATGAGAAAAATCTAATATTGAAGGTGACTGCATTTTTTTTTTTTTTGAAATTTGAAAAAAAAAAAAAATATCTATCTGAAAAATAAAAACCAGAACTGGAAAAAGTGGTAAAATATTTTGAGGTAAAAAAGTTTTTTTTTTTTTTATAGAAAATTTGATGTTTGGGTAAATTATCCAAGAGGCTGTGCTTTATATTATTGTGCCACGCTTTTAATAATTTTTTTCAAAAAGGTTGTGCGATTCCCTGTAACGGTGAAGGTGTTTCAATATTTCGTGATCTACACACGGATAACAAAGTTAAAATGAACTTTTTTTGTTAAAGAATTAAAATTTTAATTATTTTTAATTAAGAGTATAAATTGATTCGTAACTTGATAACTACAAGAAAAATGCAACTCGAGTACAAATGAAAAACTGGAGTTTATATAAGAATGAAAGACGACGGGGCGTACGAATAATTTTTGGGGTTATTGAGTAAGTGTGCATCGGTGACATTCGGTGGTTGCAATGTAATGCTCTAAAAGAGTTTAGTGCATTGTGTTTGATTATGAGAAAATTTTTTTTTATGGAGCATTGAAAGTTGAATAAACATCTAACAAACAGGGATTCATAATTTAATTAAACCCTTTTCCGCTTTTGGTTACACGATTGAAATAATCAAAAAAAAAAACCAAGAATGTTAACAAGAATACTGTAACAAGCTTAGTACAATTACATGTAAATCTCGTGGAATAGATCCATTAACAGCTTAGGTGTGTTCAATAAGTTGGGGCTTAAAAAAAAAACACATTGTGCACAGTAAAAATGTAATTAATCGGTATTTCATGTATATAAGGAGATTCTGTATGTCAACCCTGTTGGTTTGTGTTTAGTGTTACATTGTATTTGATGCCCACAAAGCATTTTTCATTTCTTTATGTAAACTTTTTATGTTCAAACAAGCTTGCCATGCTATCGTAGGCTTATATTTTTCTGCGTTCGTTCCTCTCATGGCGCGGGAATGTCGCAGTTTCGCTTTGCACCGACCAAAAAATTTTCGGATTTGTCAGAAAAGAAACATCACGTGAGTTCCGCGGTGACACTTGAAAAAGTTTTATGTGTTCATGTTCCCAGACTATACCAGATATTGATTCATTAAGGTCATTTACATGAATCCGCCCAACTTCTAATCTGTCAATTTCAGTTGAAATTCAAACAACGGTCAGCAGGTTTGTATCGGAATAAAAGATCCAAATTTGGCGTAAAACCAAAAGGAAAACTTAATTTTTTGAGCAAGCTAATTAGACTTGCAGGTGAAATGATGATAAACAGGAATCCTTTCAGGTAAGTAACAGGTAGATTTATCACGTGTCTCTTTCTTATGGAAAAAGTAAAAACTATAAGATAAGGGAAAAATGACACAAGAACCCCCAATTTTATTTTTACTATTCATTGATTACCAGTTAATGTGAAAATCTATGCCGAAAGGATTTTTTTTTTTTTTTTCGAGATAAACAAAAATGCAAAAGTATCAACGACGAATTGTACACTATTATTATCTTTTTTTTTTTTTTTTTTTCACCGTGTAAGGTGATGTGTAAGGTTCACATGCTCGGAGTGCAAATTTGAAATTTTTTTTTTTTTGAAACTTGTAAACATTAAAGTATTGTGTAAAAACGGAATTTTTTTGATTAATGTTCATCATATTTTCACTTATTTGTTTTTTTTTTGATTATCAAGAAGTGCGTGCGCGTTGGCTGATTAGGGTTGATATGCTTTTGAGTATAATTTTAAAATGTTTCGTTCTATGTGAAAAAAGAGAACAAAAATTATCTTACCCAAAATGGTTTAGCTCTCATCTTTTGGGTAACCAATCGACAATAGATGAAAAAACTGCGCGCAATCCAAGCAATCCAAGAATAGAGTGTGATGCAATTGATCCCTTTACACATGTATATATATATTTTTTGAACACAAAAACATCAGTTTATTGCCTGAATAGATAGATAATGTATTGTATTGTTTTAAGCAAAGTTATTTTGGATTCAACGTTTTAAACATGCTTTGGTAAAAGTAATGTCTGCAAGAAAATATTTGAAAAAGGCCGATTAAATTTACCTGATGAAAATGTTTAAACATTTACTTGTGGTGTAAATCTTTTAATTTAATTAAATATCATTTGATCAAGAATATTAAAGAACTAATTTTTGTTCAAATCTTTAGTAAAAATAACTGTAATTTTTTTTTTAAAACTATGTTTATCTAGTCCTTTATTTTTTTATATTCTAATAAACTTAAAAATTAGGATAACTATTCTCATATCTAATTATAACAATTACTACTAAAAGATGATATATTTTTTCTGTATACGAAAGATG